GTACCCACAGAGCTGCGAAAACACCGCAGCCTGCACCGTGCTTCCTCCATCACCGGAAACAAGCTGAGTGCTGGGAGCGACCTCGTCACCACGGTTCATCTTCAGAGGCAGCCAGGGAGCCTCACCTGGGCCCCACCAACCGTGGGAAGGGCTGCGGGTCCACCTCAGCCCGCGCTGGCCCAGCATGATGTCGCAGCTCTCACCGCACTGACCACGGCTGTCTGAGGTGGTCACGATGGTGCTTGGCCGCTTGCAAGTGCCAGCCAGAGCTGGTTGGAGGGGGCTGCTTCAGTCGGCTCCTTGGGCTGGAGATAGAGCCCAGCGTTGAGAAGGTCTGGCAGGGCACCGGCAGCCAGCTGGGACTGCCCTTGAAGCTGGGGGGGCCTTTTGGATGAAACCGTTTTCCCGTTCGAGTTTGCAATGAGCTATGAGCATTGGCCTGATCTGGCAAGAGAATTTATCCAAAAACCTCTTTTCATTTGGGTCTGAAACAGAGCAACTTCTGCTGTCCTAATGAGCGCTCATAAATAATTACGTCCTGTTAGTCCCAGAGCCAGCTCATCCCCGGGCAGGAGCCAAGCCTGTCAGATGGGTCCTCCTCTGCTGATCGCCTCTGGCCCACGCACACCCACCTCACGGCTCTGTGTGCAGGGGGGCTGGGGGTCCCACTGGCCTTGTCATGGGAGAGAAACCCACCTCCCCTGCCCGCATGTGAGGGTGCTCCACGGGGAAGGGGCTGCGGAAGCGCTGCCTTATCTGCCCATGTCACACTCCGCTTCACCCTGCGCTCCCCTTCCTGCCGTCCCCACCAAGAAGGAAGCGTAGAAGCCTTCTGCTGGAGAGGAGAGATCAAAGACAACATCAGAAAGTTTCTCTTGCCTTGCAAGAGGAAGAGATGCATTTTGTGCCAGTGGGGAAAACAGAGCTTGAGGGTGATTAACCCCTTCCTGTAGCTCCAGGTCCCAGCAGAGCTCTGGTTTCCATGCCCAGGTTGTTTCACCTCTTGCAGCTGTTGTTGCACCCCTTGCTGGGGCAGTTTTTGTCCCCCTGCCCCACACGCTTCACCCTGAGTGCTGGAGCAGAGCAGCAGCCATTGAGCATCCCCATGGTCCTGGTGTGACCCTCCCCTCATCCTGACATCCCAGTCCAGGGACTGCCCGTAGTGTTGCTGAACAGTTGCCCAGATCAGTTGGTCTGTGCCCAGCAGGAGCAGGGTCTGACCGGCACTGGGCAAGGGGGGGCTGGAGGTGCTGGGATCAGGGCTGGAGGGAAGCGGGGTGATGGCTGCTGTGTCCCCCCAGATGCATGGAGGCCCTGGTGGTGTACTGCTGGTCGGGGAAGGAAGAGGAGCCCTACGTCACCATCACCCGCAAGCGGCGGCTGCGGAAAGGCTACGAGGTGGAGATGGAGGAGGAGGTGGGCCACTCGGTGCGCCGGCTGGCCACGCATCGCAACGCCTTCAAGCGCATGGCGGTCATTCAGGCCTTCCTGGGCTCCACCCCACAGCTCACCCTCCAGCTCTACATCAGCATCCTGGAGAAGTATGTCCCTGCTGCCCGAGGTAAGGGTGCCTGGCGTGTGGGGTCCCCTGGGGCCATGCAGGTGGGAGCCCACCAGGACATGGGGCAGCTCTTTAGCCATGTGTGCCAGTGTGGCATCCAAACAAAGCTCCAGGGGCTTGCTGGGGGCATGGCTCCCACTGGCCTCCCCTAAACATGGAGCACAACCCACAGGGCACTCATCCATCCCGTGGCTTGCTTTTCTCACACCCAGTGCTCTGCTTTCCAGCTTGGAGTAAGACTGGGGAGACTGGGAAGAGCTGGTTGTGACCGAGGCACCAGGCTCTGCTCCCAGCCCCGGCACATGCAGAAGTCTTCCCTACAGAGCTGTGCCATCCGCCCGATGCCCTGTCCCATGAAGATGCTGTGCCCCTGCCCCAGATTGCTCCAGTCTGCATGAGTTACTGGGTTTTTCCATCTAGTTGTGGGCTCTGACTTCCCCCCAGTCCCTCCATTGGATCTATTTGTGAGCCTTTCCCAATGCCTGGAGCTCCCAGCCCAGCACTCCCAGGCTCCCTCGCCTGCTCCCGGGGTGTTTATGTGCTTGGGGGCTGGATGTGCCAGAGGAAGCTTTTACATCCCGCTTTGGCATGCTGACGAGCCGGGCACACAAGATGCTCTTGCACCTTTCTGGTTGCGAGCTGCCCTCGCTGACACTCTCTCGGAGCTGTGCTGGGAGCCCAGACCTTGCCCTCTGTGCCCACAGCAGGCATGTGGAACATGGGAGATGCCCCATAGAAACCCCCTCCTTGGCCACGGCCCCCTGCAAAGGGATTTTGGGCAGTAGGAGTGGGGGAGGCAGGAGGATGAGCCCCAGCACTCCTCCAGCAGCAAATGTGGGAAGTGAATCCCGGTTGACACGTTTTTGGTGATTCCCTTGCAGTTCAGGTGTCTGAGCCACCTGGGACCAGCCACGTGCTTCCCTTTTTCTCCATCATGGTTTTCCTGGCTGTGCTGATGTTGAGCAGCCACTGGTGTTCCCTACAAATGACCTTGGCTTTGCAGCCCCCGGACAAGGGTGGCTCTTGAGAAGCTCTTGGGGTGAATGGTAGGCTATGGTGCTGCAGCTCTTGGTCCAGGTGAGGGCAGGGGGATGCTCGCAGCATGGTCTGTGCTCCACTCCCCCTTGAGCAGCATTTCTTGCACAGAGCAGGGGGGCTGGTGTCTGGTTCAAGCACAGGAACAGCCCCAGCTTGGCAAAGGCTTCTGGTTTATTGGTGTAGAAAGAAAATCTGGGAGCAGAAACTCCTGCTGCCTGCAGCTCCCTCCACAACCACCCCATCATGGGGTCTGTCATCACCAGCCATGAGCTGTCCCAGCAGCGCTCACACTGAGCCTCCTGCTGCAAGCCCCAGTGCTTGGCACCCTGGATTTTGCACCCAGGGTTGGCACCCCATGGTTTGTACCCGGGCACACAGCCTGGTCCCCAGCACTGCCTGACTCCCCTGCCCTCTCCCTCTGCAGCTGTCCTCATGGCCATCTGCCTGGTGTCAGTCACTTACGGGGCACTCGTCTGCAATATCCTGGCCATCCAGGTCAAGTATGATGACTACAAAGTCCAGATGCGGCCACTGGCCTTCCTCTGCATCGTGCTGTGGCGCATCCTGGAGATCTCCACCCGCGTGGCCGTCCTCGTGCTCTTTAGCACCGTATTCAAGCACTGGATCATTCCCATCGCCCTAGTCAACCTGCTGGTGGTCTTCTTCTTGCCCTGGGTGCAGTTCTGGCGGAGTGGCACCCGTCTGCCTGATAACATCGAGAAGAACTTCAGCCGGGTGGGCACGGTGGTGGTGCTCTGCGCCTTCACCCTCCTCTACGCCAGCATCAACATGTTCTGCTGGTCGGCCGTGCAGCTCAAGTTGGCCGACCGGGACCTCATTGACAAGTCGCAGAACTGGGGCCGCCACCCCGCTGCTGGTGGTGCAGCTGCTCCTCGGCTACTGCCTGGGCATCTACTTCATGCTCATCTTCTTCCAGTACCTTCATCCCTGCCGACAGCTCTTCCGGCACAACGTCGCTGACTTCCTGCACTGTGTCTGCTGCCGCCGGCACCCGCTGGGGACCCCTCTGCGCCTCCAGGCACCCCATGAGCCCGGCGTGAGGCACAGCATTGTCTGAGGCACCGACAGCACCCAGCTTCTCCAGCTGGTTATGGACATGGGGACGGGCAGCACAGAGCTGTGCCAGCAGCTGAAGGGGCC